CGAGTCCCCTTCCGAACCCTCAATCCATGGACAGGGGGAGCCAACGACAACTGAAAGCACGAGCGCGGTGTGCCGGGGGACTGAGCTTTCCCTGGATCAAGACGACCTGGTGCGGCAAGTGATGAATGAACTCAGGCAACCCAGTGGGGGAGACCAAATCCAGGAGGGGGAAGACCTCGTGGACATCGAGATTGAGTCCGGGGCGACTACCCGCCCAGCTATCCCCTCAGTCCAGTCAGCCGGGGAAAAGTTCGGCCAGAAGCTCAAAAAGAAGATAGATGAGGACCGCAGACGAACGCTGAAAGTTGGGGGACTTACTGTGAAACTCCCACAGCCAAAACGGGGGGAGCCCGCTCGTGGCACACTAGCGGCCAAAGTCCAACGAGTTTCGAGCTCAATGGCTCGATGTGGGGGAAGATGGGCCTTACAAGTTGGAGAAGCGCCAACGCAGAACGGGGGGAGAAAAGAGGGACCGTCCACTGCTTCGCCGTCGTCGACATCTGAGCGCTAGGTAGACAGCTTGAACTGAGTAGCAGAGGGCGCTTCGGGTGACTGCCTCCTTGCACTTCCTGCTCATCCTAGGGGGACCGCTTGTTGAGATGAACAATCTGGTTTTGCTTGGTTGCAGTTCGAAGTCTAGGGTGAACTTGGGGAACAAATGCATCCTTTCTCTAATTTGGTTTTCGAGGGACACCCCAAATACTGGGGAAACCCAAACACCGCAGCTTGTTGAAACGAGCAATGGGTCCCAGCTAGTGACCCGACCTTGTTGGGGAGACCACGGAGGACTTGAGTGCTGCCTCAAGGTTTTCGCCGGTTGCGGTTTTGCCGGGGTGTTCCTCGGGCTAGGGTACCAGGCTCACTCAAGGGAACGAGAAGAGAGAAATGGGCTCTAAGCCCGGGGGCATTGACCTGCCCCTATGCCTGAGAGAGAGAGAGAGAGAGGGGAACTTCCCCCTCCCATAACCCTACCGAAAGAAAGAGAGAGAGAGAGAAAAAGAGAGAGAGAGAGAGAGAGAGAGAGAGAGAGAGCGCAAGTAGCCATTTTGGCTCAAGTGCTGCACCTTTGCTCAGGGGTCTGTGACACCCCTTTGCATCGGGAGGGGAGGTGGCTGGTTGACTGGGGGTGTGCCCCCCAGGGAGCCAGTCCACTTTTCCTCAGCGGTGCTTGAGCCGCACGCCCACCACATTTTTCCTCAAGTGGCCCATCTGTGTAGAGCTGCAGCCATTGACGTGTGCGCAAGGTCGTTGTTCAACGCGCCCTCCTCTTCGAGGTTGTCCTCGACGACCCACGTTTTTTTTAATTTCAGCAGGGCAACTTCCGTGAAGCTGGAGCTCTACACCGATCTACCCCGAGACGGTCCACCTCGTCGTGCGCCTCACTGGGTGAGGGGTTACGTGTACGTACAGGGCGTGACTTGGCAAGGACACCGAGAATAATATCCACACCTACAGTGCAGAGCGGGGGTAGCCCGTCTCAAGGCCCAGCTGGGTTTGAGCGGCCAAAGAAAGTCAAGAACGGTGCAAAGGACCGAGACCGTCACAGAGAGCGCGACCGAGACCGTAGGCGCCAACGACGTGCAGAAAACGGAGACCGGGACCGAAGAAGTCGTGACCACCCTTTGGGCGAGTTCTGAGCAGGCGAAGTGAGCACTTGGCAAAGGTTTTCCTTCTTCTGGGAGTAAACCCAGGTTCCTAGAGCCGAGCTCTGCAGGCACAAAATTTTTGTTGCTTTGAGGCGCCGTGGCACGCATGTGTAACCCACTCTTTTCCCTTGAACGTACTCTCTCCACTCGTTTTCCGTTGGGACACGGGGGAACACCCCTTGGAAACCTTTCCTTGTACCATAAGACGGGCTGCAGGAGCCATCCATTTGCCTTTACGCCGTGCCTCCGCTCGAGGCTCCCTAATTAGCTAGCCACGTGCCCTTCAGAGCAGCGTGCAGGGGGGACATCATTGCTTTTTGGATATGGTTCCTTATCATACTTGCCTTGTTTCTTCATGCTCTTCTTATACACGAAAGCAGGTTGCCTTCATGTTGCTCTGCATTTACTCTCACCGCTGGCCCCGTAACATACGGGGGCGCTTGATGCGCGCGGGCGAGGGGCAACCCTCGTCTGCAGCCCTTGCGAAAGAAAAGCAAGCAAGCGAGAGAGAGAACGAACGGGTCGATGGTGTAGTTGCGCTTCGCCATGCCCCTCCAAAACGGTCGGGGGCGCGACATGCGCGCGGGCTAAGGGAACTTCCCTTAGCCCACAGCCCTGGCGAAAGAAAGAGAACGGGGCCGATCAAACGCACAGACGCATGCCGCAAGGGGTAGGCCTATGCCTATGCCAATGCAGTGCCAATGCCAGTATTATGCTAGAGACCAGAGATATCCTTTGGTTCCAGAGCGTCCAGCCGGCGCAAGTGTTTCGTCCATAGAAGCCAGCTCATGGCACACCTGTACACTCTGTAGTCTGTACAGTCTGTTAGAGATATCCTTGGGTTCCAGAGCATCGAACCGGAAGCTCAGTATCGTCCATACAATCCAGCACGTTGTGCAGTCTGTGCAGTTGTTTGTTGTTTTTACAATGCAGTACAGGTGCGTGTCGGTGGAAACAAAAACCCGAAGCCCTTATAATCCCTAAACCCACTCCTAAACATGTTTGCCGAAGCAAAAACCCCTTGCGGCCCCTTGCGTTGCATGTTTTGTGTGCACATGTAGCGTCTATAGTGAGTCATTGGAGGAAGCAACAGCTATCCTTCGATCAATAGAGCGGCTATTGTTTGTTGGTCCAGGCTAGTTGCGGTTGGCTCATCTTTACATAAAACATTCTACACACATTTAAAGCGACCGGTGAAAATTGCCATGCCTCTGATTGGAAGCCCACGTCCTCTACCTGGTCGCTTCAGGCCACTGAACAAAATGAAGGCGAGCGACTGCGGGGGCAAGCGCAGAGCCAGGGCAACCCGGTGCCGGACACGGGTGCACTACTCCAAGACGGCGCAATCGCACGGTCGTCTTTTTCCCCCGAACGGCAGATCGCAGAATCAGGCTCGCAAGAGCAAGAACACAGCTACCGGGCGACGACCCCTACAAGCATAGAGGCCGGGGGCCTTCCCCCATGGCTTCCCCCGTCGACCAGATCTACCAGGCGCCTATAGCCTCTTCTATGTCAACTCGGCCTACATGCCCACCAGCGTTCCACACGACCTATAAGGGAATGGGTCGACATGGGTCGAAACAAGAGAACATCAACCATCGCGACCTGCTGGAGCTGCTGCACAGGGGCGGCCTGGTCCAGCACTATCCTAAGTCGCAGAGTAGCAACAACCACAACCCAACTACAGCCACCCTTCATTGACAACCACCGGCCCTTCATCCTGCCGCAGGGGACCAAGCCGAAGAAGAACCACGCTCCGACCACCAACCCGCGGCCTTTTCGTTCTATTCAAGCACGAAAGGGAAATTTTCAAGATGACTTATTCCGCCTCCAAGAGTGAGAATTCCTTCAGATTGCCATCCCGGTGCACGACACCCCCCTGGGGGGAGAACTCGCATCCCACAACCTTGACATTCCTACTTGCCAACCAGAATCAACCTAAGGGACGCCGTGAACGTCATGCAGACGCAAACAACAGGACGAGGAGCCGAAACCGACGACGATTACCACCTGGCCGGCCACTCTGGAGTTGCCTCCCACCTGGCGGCCGCAGGGCTGGGCAGACCGGGGGGGAGCATCTCGCGGAGGAGTACCACGTTTCCCACACCGAATGCTTTCGAAATTGATGCGTTGGCTGCAGGCATGATGGACGAACGGGCTCAGGCGGGGGATGCCACGACAAGGGGCGAACTCCTGTAGCTCCTGGAGCTAGTGCAAGCCGGCAGCGTGCTGCTGCAAGGGGGGAGCAGTGACGCACTGCACCACCGACGCCGCTGTGAGTAGCACGGGGGACTTTCGCAATCTGCGCAATTTCCTTGAGGCAGCAGCTACCGGGTTACACCCGGGTATCACCGGGTTCAACGTCCGCGTCAGTAGCTGAAGGCATTCACCCCGCAGACGCAGTTGCCCTGGGGTGGAGTCCCAGAACAGGGGAGACAGAGATCGGCCGCAAGCGGCCCATGTTTACGGGGCAAAGTTGGGGAGCGAGAAGACGGGGCCGTACTGCTCCGACATGGTCAGCTACTACAAGAGCAGGCCAGTTCCTCAGCGGCGCCTACGCGCGAATACGCGCAAACCCAAATGACGAGGAAAGTCACGGCAAGGACCAGCGCCGCCGAAGCTTCACGAACCCCAATTCCCTCGACCAGGATGATTAGGTGCAGTTCGTTTTGAGGGGCCATTCATGGATCTGACAGCGGGCCCTGTTGACTCCTGTACGCCATCAACCGTTTCGCGACTGCTAGAAATGCGAGTCATTCATTGTACACGCACTCACTGTAGTTGCATGTTCGATTCACCTGTGGTGTCACCCACGTTGCCAGCTTAGGTTTTGCACCACCCCTTGCTGCACTTGCATGCTGACCTGGGGAATTGCAGGAGTCAAATGAGCGTACATTGTGTAAAGACTTGATCGGCAAGAGACCTGCGTATCCTCTGTCTATCCCGATTGGTTGCTTGGTGGGATTGTCGTCGTCGCTTTTCGTCATGGTTCCCTCCGACAACTGCAAGAGACTATCATGTGCTTCGCAACTTCGAGGCGGCATAAACAAGACTCCCGTACTAACCTGCAGAATGACATGATGCGTCCATTCGTTTGGCAGTGATTCGGAGGCTAATTTGCGCTCGACATTTGGTCTGTTGCCCGGGATGGCGCGGCTATAGTACCCATGACGCATGTTAAGCGGCCCCAGGTTTAGGGTTCTGCGCCGTAAACATGTACACACACACACATGTGCACAGATTCCTGGGTCCAACATGTCAACGCAGAGGTTGAGGGTGTGCTTCCAGGACGAAGAGGCTTCGCAGCTGTCCATGTCAGAATCTCGCTTTTGTGAAACGGCTTTACGTCTGCAGGCAGGTGGCCCTGGTGTGACGAAGGAATTCTTCCAGGTTTTTGTGCGGTTCAAGAGCAGTGCTGGGCGCTGCCCAGCTGTTGGGAACGGCATGTCGTGGCATGCGGAGATGTTTCCCAGGTTGCATTACGCAGTTTCCTGGACGTTTGGCACAACAACGAGCGTCTCTTCGTCTATGACGAGCAGCAGTTCTCTTAGAGTTTCTTCGGGAATGACAGCGTGGCAATTGAGAACTGCACCGTGAGAAAATGTCGATGAACGGCTTCCGTTGAAGCAATATCAACCAAGGTCGCGAACGTGCGGGGGCCCAGCTAGCGGCGATTCTCGTGATATGGGTTGCAGTTGGGTTGCCGAGGACATTTTGCCAGCAAGCCCATAAGAGGATCAAGCAGAATGGACAACATTGGATAGTCTTTTTCCGAAAAAAGACTACTAGGCTAGACTCCCGAAACATGGATGGAAGAAGAGACAGGGAAGGAACAAGAGTGAAGAAGGGAAATCAACCTTGGCTGTGCACATGATCTTGGTGCCTGCATGTAAGTAAGTAAGTATGTATGTATGTACGTATGTATGTATGTATGTATGCATGTATGTATGTATGTGTGCATGCATGCATGTATGTCTGTATGTAGGTATGTATGTATGCATGTCAGATGTATGCATGTATGTGTGTATGTCTGTATGTGTGTATGTAGGTATCCCAACGTATGTATGTGAATCAAGTGGGTAGATTTGCAATATTTAATTTAGCATGTATGCATGTATGTACAAAAGTATGTATGTATGCATGTATCCTAGACTCCCTCGAACATTCGACACCTGCCATGCAGTGTCCGCGGACGTTGCCAAGTGGGAGCCAAAACATGTGTAGGTGTGTAGATGCGTAGGTGTGTATGTATGTATGCATGCATGTATCTACGTATGAGGATCATTCATGTTATCTGAGACTATTACAAAAAGTCGCTTTGACCAAGGAGATCTTCAAGCTCTTCCGAGTCGAGTGAAAGAATGAAGAAATGGTTGGTTATCAAATCCGCGTGTTCGATGTGTATGTAGGTCGTCAAGACATGCCATGTCAAGCTAGCAATCGAATGAGTAAATGAACAGGAGTGGGCCACTTAAAGCCCCCTAGCCGCAGATTCACAAAGTAATTCTACAAGTGCCTGTTTTGACACATGTATGTGTGTCTATGTGTGCACGTATGAATGTGGACATGTATTTGCACAAGACAGTGAGTCCAGGATTCTGGATCCTCTTAGCTTGGAATGTGTAGCTTCATGTGTGTTTCCGAAACCTGGGCTCACTAATGGCAGATGGTTTGGACTAGGTGCACTCGGATGGTAGCCTGAATGGCTTGAGTTTGATTCAGTTCTGTTTCTTTTTGTTGTAGCTCCGCGAGCTTCCAGTTGAGGCTTAAACTTGGTCAGCCACTTTCTTCGTACCCAGTTTAGACTGTCTGCAGAACCTTTCGGTATCGATCTTGGGTAAACTTGTAGCGTGATTAAATTAAACCGAAATATCAAAAGTCTTCTGAGAATTCTGTTTCAGCAAGTTCGCAGTCAGCGAAGTTTTCCCGTCTGCTTTCCCAGCTGATTCCATACAGGCTGACGGTTGAGAGTATGATGTCCTGCAAAAAGGGAGATTACTCGCCCTGTTGAGCACCTCTTCCTTCGATTGCATCAACGGTTTTCGAAAGTTTCAGGCATTGGAAACTGAGACTTGGAACTTGAAGGCCCAAGCTGCTGACATTCAGAGTGGCACCTGCTCGTACCATCTCGCATCGTGGTGTCTTTTTCTACATGTCTTTTGAGCCCATCAGCAGCTCGTCAAGCTGCATGTCCACACTGTCACATTTACTGGCGAGTGTAGCTTGCTCTTGAACATAGCGTGTGTGTGAACCAGTGCCAGCATCAGCGGGGCAGCAACCGATGGGACTTCCATACGTAAGAATTGGAAAGCCCCGGCGCGCGTGTTTTGTGTACTTTTTGGAACCAGCGTCTTCGCCAGAATTCTCACCGACTGATGTGGTGTGTTTATTCACAGCCTCACCACCTAGTACCGGTTCAAGTTCAAGTCGTGGCAATTGCCACATCTCGACTGTAGTGACCAAAGCTTGAATCAGAATTTGCGTTCATTTTCACTGATGATGGGAGATGTTGTGCTCTACATGGCACTCGCCTGGAGCTGATTTTGCAGTGAGCTGTAGATGTTGTGTTTCTGGAAGGGAAAGTCGCCATACTTCCTTCCTTCATGGCTCAGCTTGGTTCGATCAAGTAGTGAATCCTGAAACTGCTGGTACTTATCTAGTAGCATATCTCATCACCAGGGAATGGAGTATGTTGCAGTATATGGTAGTATGTTTCCATAGTGGACGAACCCCAAGAATAACGGTTCCTGAATAATGAGGAACGAATGGAGCTTGTGAGGTATTGGTTGAACGAGCGGGCTGTTGGCTCGGAAGACTTTTTCCGATCCTATGGCATTTTGCTTGGTCAGGCAGGGCTACGTGTAGGCATCGCAGACTGCCCAGACATGAATTTAGTTGTCCTTGTTCGCAAGGCTGTGCTGAACCATATTCACGTCCCGAACATTTTCCCTCGTGTGCTTGCCTGAACGCAAGCTTCGGCACGAGGGCGGCAGGTCAATGATGCCACACATCAGCACGTCTGTAGCAGTTGGCACCTGCTGAGAGAAGTCATGTTTGGGTGCCAAGGTGCTTTATGATCGGCTACTCGAGGAGACACCACTCTCGGGCTGTGCGTGTTGCGGTGTGGCTTCGTACAACAAACTGGAGCTGGCGCAACGGTGGGGGGTGAATACAGCTGCAGGAGCTAGAGTCGCCTTGCGCGAAGAAGCTGCGACTTGAGGCATCGTGTTGAGCCGCTTCTTACATTCTGTCATTTGTGTCGTCTTTGCTGGCATGACTGCAACTGTGCAGGACATTGGGGCCGTGTGCCCGAACACTGCGAAGCCTCGTGCTCGGTATCTCTCTCGTGGAACCGATGGGTGAACAAAGCAGAAGCAGAAGCTGCAACCCTTGCGCTGCACATGGCGATGACTGAGGAGTTTGCGCCAGATTCTCGAGTACCCGGGCCAGGACACGTTTTCTCGATATTCGTCTTAGCAAGCCCGGTCACTCGCCAGGGCTGTGCTTTTTTCCGCTTTCCGCTCCTTGTCTTGGATCGCTTTCGCATTCTGCTTCTTTGCTTTGCTTATCATCCTCCGGGTCGACGTGCGCATGGGGTCCGTGGTAGCCCATTATATCCTTAGCAGGGGCACTGCAATCAAGAAGTGCAGCACGACAGACAGACAGCACGTGCACTTCCCGTCTCACTCGAGGGTGTCTGAAGCATCTACCACACCAGCCTAACTTCAGAGTTCAGCTGTGGAGCAACCTCGAGGGTTTGATGCATCGGCCTTAGATGACAAGGTAGCAAAGGGAAGCAAGCTGGCCGGCACAGGCAAACCAACGGGAGCGCATCCAGTAGTGAGGCAGCTGACGTTACCCCCCATCTTCAAGCTTGGCGGTGTGCGAGCAGAGGTGGATTTCTGATCGCATACTGCTCCCTTCTGCAGGATTTTGCAGGCCCTTCTTTCCACCGCATCGCGTTCAGGGATTGAGATTCATTTCTGGATAACGTCCACGGGCTTGGGTGCAGCCTCACGGTTGCTGGTATCGTGCAGCCGCACAACAAGATACGCTCATTGTGTACTTCTGGAGTCGCATGTCGCAAGGTGTAACAAACCGGTCCGAAGGAAGAGGGAAAGAAAGTGGGAGAGCGAGAGAGGAAGGCTCAGACACAGCAACCTTAAACAAGGTAACATGTCCTCGAGTGACTCCGGGCGGGTTTGCACGTCAGTGTTGCGTTGTGCAGGCTTAAAAGTGCGCGAAACTCTAGTGTCAGCACAGTTTTGCTCGGGGGACGAGTTGTAAGGAAAAGCGCGATCCTCGAGAGGGGTCACTTGGAATGGGGCATTTTGTGCATTTTACACTGGTTTTGAGGACATCATGAAGAAGCATTTGGGCAAAACTTTGTGTGGATGACGACTTTACAGTTGTTAGCTTAGACGGGCAGTGGCGTATTGCAGAAACCCATCCAAGAAAAATCATCGGCATAAGTATTGTGCAACGAGGCCCTGTCCCGGAAGATATCCCTGTGTAGCATGGGTTCGACATGATTTCAATCCCAAATACCCAGAAGTATTAGGATCAAGAGCCCTATAGTCGAACATCGCATTAAAGCAAAAATCATCAGCATAAGTATTGGCCAAAGAAGCCCTTCACCCCAACGACATCCCTGAAAACTTGGGTTAGCTCCAGGGGCCGCTCAAAGTAGAAATGATAGCCGGTAATGGCTGCGCAACAATAACGACAACGACTATAGTGATAACGGGACCGATAGCGACAGCGATAGCGATAACGTTAGCTGTAACGGTGATAACGACACCGAGCACAACAAGAGCAACATCAGCTGCAGCACCACCAACGCTCAGAACAACAGCAGCGGCAGCAGCAGCAAACACCGGCGCAGTTTAGCCCAGGTTTGGGGTGTAGGGTTTAAGTAAGGCGTAGGTTCAGGGTTGAGGGGCTGTCTTTCTTTGCGTATATGACAGTTTTGGAGAGTATAGAGCAATAACAGTATATGATCTTACGATACGTAGAATCTGATAGCAGATTTTATGTTTCGGAGTTTTGGAGGACGCTGTCAACACGGACATTAGCCCCCCCCCCTCCCCTCCCACACCCGAAGCAACCTCCCAAGTCCCGACGCAGCTTTTCCTAGAATGAAGCCAATACCCGAGATTTAAGCATGTCCTAAGCCTGAAACCTGCAAATCTTCCGGATTCTATGCAGCCCATGTTGCCTTAAACAAAGGGCCCAGTTTTGTTTACTGGTTTGCGTTGCCATTCAGGATTACTGTGATTTGGTCTCCGTGCTCCCCTAATCTCCGTTGTCTGAATCCTTCGCTGATTCCCACCACTGTCGTGTCTTTTGCTTGCCGCACCAACGAGAAACTGCATGTGACTGTCGCCACTTAGCTGCATGCTGCAGCTTCGGAAGCAGCCCCATCCCTGCACCATCTTGTGGCTGTTGCGATTTCTCTGTGATCGATCCAGCAGAACACCAGAAAACCCTGGTTCCATGCAAACTCAGCCGTTGCATGTCTTCCTGCGCCCCCCGGACAGCAGGATATCGCTGAAGTCTTCGGGGACCTCGCTTGGCCACGCAGACTGCTCAGCGGACGGGCAGGAACAGCGAACTTCCTAAGTCTATGTTGACATGGCTGGAGAGATTATGTACTTCAGGTGGTGCCCTCCTTGCAGAGGACTTGCGGATCTCGCAGGCCAATAAAGCGGACTTTGTCCAGGCGATCAGGTTCTTCTCCCGAGGTCAGGCCAATGTGACTTAGCCCTTGGACCTAGGCCTATGTCGATTGGTTTTTTCATGGCAAAATACAGGCCCAGCTCGCCCCTCAGCATGTTGACTGTAGCTTTTCGGACGGCAACACATTTTCAGAGATGCCCTCACGTTGTCACGCCACGAAGCGCGGGAATGCGGGCCGTTGATAAGCGACCGTTGAGGATGGCGCGGCAGAGAGAGAGATATAGAGATGTAGAGAGATAACCCTGTGGAAGAAGAAGAAGAAGAGAGAGAGAGAGAGTAGCCATTTTGGCTCAAGTCGACCTGCCGCTCCCTTGGGGGGCGCCTGAGGACGGCCCTTTGGGATAGCTGGCTGTTCCCAGCTTTCCCACTGGGTGGACGTGCCGTCAGACGGGGGGAGGCTTGAGTCCAATAACCGTCGCTGCTCTGCTCCAGTGGCCTGTCGGGGGGGGGACCTTTGACACGAGCCATAACCGTGACAGTGAAGTTCGTGATACCTACGCCCTTGAGCGCGACCTGAACATTGCAAGAGCTACTCCTTTTTGCAGCACCGGCAGGGGGGGACACAATCTCCCGCATCCTGCAGGCCCTTTCCTTTGTGCAAACGCTGTTCCTGACCTACCCGATCGCTGGGAGGGGGAATACCACGCCTCAGAGTCCGTGACTTGGGGAACGGCCGCGACACAGTGAAGATCGCCATGGTGGGGACATGCAAGCTTTGCAGGTACGCGACAAGAACCTGCACCATAGGGATGCGAAAAATACACGACCGCCCAGACCCGGCATGCAGGTTACACGGGGTGACTTCAAAAGCTACAACTTCTCCAAGAGACCGCGCCAGAACTCCTCCAACGGAAGGGGAGCAGAGACTGGCACCACCAGCACCAAGCTCGACAAGACGGGGGAGTACCTCCACTTCGACATCCGCGACAATCCGCGGGAGTACCTCAACCAGGCCACTTGCAGAGCTAACTGGGTTCAAGACACGCAAGGGGGTGGTATTGCTCTACGAACCTGATCCACTTGACATGTGGATTGGCAAGAAGATCCAGAAGGAGGCCGAGGGGACCCTTACCGACACAGAGACGGGGGCAACCCTCACCAAGCAATAGGCGACCCAGCACAGAGCCTACTGCCGCCGCCATGCAGCCCGGAATGAAGAAGCACGCCTGGCGGATAAACTATTCCACATTGCGGACAAGTACCTCCCTCTACAGGCGGACGAGACTCGAGCTTATGTCGCACACTTTCCTGGGCAAGCCAAGCGGCTACTGCCCAAAGCCAGGAAGATTCGGAACAAACACCGACATTCTGCGACATGTTGCGCGCCGGAGCTTTGGATGCTAGACTCTTGATGCGTCTGATTGCATCTTCACCCAGGTAGTTGCTAAAAAAACCGTGAGTTTTGGGCTTCCAGTCCAGCACGGCATGCTCCAACAGGTGAAGTTTGGGTCTAAAGTGATACCTCGGTAGCGCACGAGATATTGCACTTCGTGCAAGCTCGTTGTACCCGAAACGCAGCATCAGGTAGCATTCCTCGAACTCATCTGCGGATGTACTGCCGAAAAAGCGACTTGGCTGCATGCACTTCTGAACTTCTCGCTACGTACAGGCAACATGCAGTTAACACTAGTGCTGCCTGAGTGCCCATTGTTGATCATCAACATCTCCATATCTCGAAAAGCCGTGGCCACTGCCATCAAGTGCCTGGGTGCAGGCTCATGTCTCAGACATAGCCCTGCATGTATGTATATGTTGCCATTAAGTCATTACAACACACGTGCATATAAGGTATGCTCAAGTTGCTGCAAGATAGGAGTCGGTGCGAGCTGCTCGCACAACGTCGTCAAGAACGTGCATGCCCATAGCAGCATATATCTGCAAGCCGTCGCAGAAAGAGTTTTCTGCGAAACCTCGATATTCTTGTTGTTGCTCAAAACTGCTGTCGTAAACATGCGTCTGCTGGCACGATCACCAACTTGAGAGGCTTCAGCCCAAGATCTGTGATCTTTCCACAGCACATCCAGTCGCCTTTCTCGCGATGTCCCTGGTACTATCGTAGCATCCTCGCTAACCTCCGGCAACATGCTTCCCAGAAAGTCATCAGCGAAGGCCAGATGCACCATATGCATGTAGTCTGGATACAGTCCTGATGGATCCATGTCAAAGGTTCTGTTATCTAAATGATTTAGTACTTGAGATACCATCAACATGTAGTAGTTGACTCCTGCCCCGGCTCAGTATTAGTCGGATACTAGTTTCCTTATAAGACACCCATATAAAAAAACACAACTGCTTTTGAACAAACAAGTTGGTCGGGGCCCTTCTTCCAAACTCTTCTGAGGGCATGTAAAACCACAGCACCTCCCCAGCCAAACTCTCTTGAGGGAATGCAAAATTACAGCACCTCCCCAGCCAAACAGCCCCACCCAACAGAGCCCAATCCAGCCAGCCCCCACAAACAACAGACCACAATCCAGCCAACCCCCAGCCAACCAGCCCCAAACCCCAAACCCCCACAGCCCCAGCCCCAAGCCCCAAGCCCCAACCAACCCCAAGCCAGCAGCCCCAGCCAGAACCCAACACAATCCAGATGGCCTCCTCAGCCACCTCCAAACCCAGTCCCGACCCACCAGCTGCTATTGCTAAACAAAAAGTTAGTCTGGACTACGCAGATGAGTGGGTGGTCAACGAGTGGACTATGCCGCCATTATGACTGTGTCATGTCGCATGACCATAAGCACTGTTTGCAAGGTCCAGGACTTCTTCGCGATCTTGATGTTGCCTGGGCGTTTGCGATATTGGCGATACTGTGCTGGTCTTGTAACTGCCTCGGATTGTTCGATTGACGTCGATGGGTTGTGTCTGCAGAGCAGCTAAGGCCCAGGCAGCTACGGCACTTGCCGATTTAGGCTGCTGCTGGAGCTCCAGCAGCGCAGAAGCAGAGCACAAAAATCTGGAACTGAAATTCAGATTTCTGCAACCCACAGGAATCCGTCAAGAGAGCCAAGACAAGTTGTGCTTTTCGCGTGCTTCCCGTTGTGCTCTTGGAGCCGGGAGCACAAGCCCGACCACAAACTGGAGCACAAAAAAAAGCACAAACCAAAGCACAAAAAACACCACCAAAACAAAGCACACACTCCCGAACACACAGCACAAACCAAAGCACAAACTATATCTCATCAAGTAAGTTGTGGCTTTCTTGTGCTTTTTTTAAATTGTAAAAAGCACAAACCAAAGCACCCAAAAAAAAACCACAAGCAAAAACACAAACTCCCAAACACAGAGCACAAAAAAAGCACAAACCAAAGCACGCGAAAAAGCACAAACTCCCAAACACAAAGCACAAACCAGAGCACACAAAAAAAGCACAACTGTTTGAACAAAAATCAAAATTTGAAAATTTGATTTCTGAATACGAAAAAAGCCTTAAAAAAGCTCTGATTTGTGCGGAAAAGCTTACCCCTTTTAAAATGATCAACTGGCCAGCCAGCCGCCCCAGCGCCCTCCAGGCAGTCAGGGTCTCGGCGAGGGCCCTTGACCAAAGCTTACCCTCCTAACTTCACTGGTCTGTAGGCACTAGCCACTGCAGCCAACCTCTGGTGGCAAAAGTTTGCAGTGCGCAGGCAGTAGTAACAAGTTTCCAAAGTCAGGCAAAATCTGTCAAAACAGCTGCGGAACCGAAACCAGAACACTGAACACAGAAAATAGCCTAGCACACGTGCCCCAGCCGCCGCCCAGCGCTCAAAGAAGAGAAAACTCCACTCGCCGTGACCGTGATGAGGGAGGTAGGAACTGACCATGCCAAGATAATCTTCAATATCTCTGGACGTATCTCTATCATGCATTTTTGGGCATGTGGCAAGGCTGATGTGACGGGTGTGCAAACAGTTTTGAATCTCTGAGAATCAATGAGTGACCCAGAAGGAGCGAACACAAAAGAAGTGGGATGCAGTGGGACTTGTGTGGAGAGGCGTCGGTTTGAGAGGACCAAAATTTAGCAGTGTGCAAACAGTGGCCAGATATGGTGCCAAAACCAGACAGTCAGATAGTTTTTTTGGAGAAGGCAATTTTAGATTTACTTTTCCAGTGAATACAGTGATTTTGAGTTGTGCTTTTCTTGTGGGTTTGGTTGTGGTCACTATTATTGTGACGGGGCAGGAGTCAATGTAGCAGTGCTTGAGATACCATCAACATGTAGCAGTGCTAGCCAAGATTCTGGAGGGGCCAAACCCAACAATCTGTGTCAATGGAGATTCCCCGTGTGCTTCGATGAAGTCCTCCTTGGTCAAGATCATAGTGGTTCGGTGGAGGGCGTGGTGCCCGAAGCAAGAATAAAGGAGCTCCACATTGTTGGGTTCACCCGGCTTGGCTACAGCATTGATCCACTGGATTGCCGAGCAGAATGACATGTCATCTTCTTGTTGTAGAAACCTAAGGTGGATGACACCCGAAATAGAGGTTATAGGGTATTGACACATGCTCTTGTTGCGGGTACGAGACGCTGCAGGCCCATAGCAAGTTTGTGGTACTCCCAATCGGCTTGAAACCCGTCAAAGATACATATATAGCGGCCGCAGATTCGTTGGCCTGCCACTTTTGCCCTCTCGGGCATGTAAGCCGGCCCAAACTCCTTCCCGAATGCATCGCAGTGAGGGTGGACCCCCGAGCCTGGAGATTTGCAGCTGTGCCGTGAGCCAATTTAAAGCACTTGCAAGATAGTCGAGTGGCTCAGACAGTTAAAGCTCCATGCTATAATGGTCAGCAGCTTGTCCCGTGCAGGCTTGTTGCAGTAGGTGGCATTCATACATGATAGCCTGGGTGCGGCCGACACATTAAGTCGGGGCTTATGTGCGTCAATGTTTTCATTCGATCCAAGGTTATAATCTGCCATCGAGACACAGGAGCCGGGTGTTCAAGGTGGACGCCTCAGCATCAGTCTTTGGGACGGTCACGAGGGTCAGAATCTCGAAATTCTGCTTTCCTCAGTCCGTGTGCATGCTTCAGCAGTAAATCGACCTCATGAGGTATGCCATTCATGTTTGCGTGATGATTTGGCTGAGCAGAAAACGATAAGCATCTGCGC